GCAGATTAAACAGGTAAGACTAAAAGTACTCAGGCCAGAATCTCAGTACCCAGGTAGAGTATTTAGGTGAGGTGGCAGCACACACAGGATTGAAATCCTCACACACAGGGGGGAACTGAGTTTGGGTTTCCTACATCTTGAGTGTTGTTCTTCTGGCAGCAGTGTGTGTGGGACCTAATCAGGTAGGTTTGCTTTGAGAACGCTTAATGGAGCAGGCCCTATAGGTGGCACAGAGTCCCAAAGGACTTAGACACCAAGCTGCTCAACACTATCAGCACATAAGAACTTTGTGTATGCCTAAAGCACCCCTTTAGGCACTTAGGAAATATTACTGGTAACAACTTTGGAACCTAGGGACTTAAGGCACTTACCGGATTAGGTGGCTGAGAGGGGGGCTGAGGATCAAGATTTGAATTTAAGGAATTCAAGAACTCTTTAAGGGCATTACAATACCATATAATCAAAGAACATAGGCAACATGTGGAGAGGGCAGAGGGGCATGTGCCCCCCGAGGTTTTTGCTCTGATGGCAGGGCACAGAGCTGCAGCCCAGCCAGAGCCAGGGCCCAGAAGCAGGGGAGGTGGGGGTGGCAGTGCAGAGTCATGCCTCCCCCCACCCCGCCATCAACACTTACATGTCATCTATGTCAAAGACTGTATCATACTGCATAGGCACAAATGGGAGGGGTGGGGCTTAGGGTGTACCAACATCAATTCTGGCATTGGATGCTCAATCTTGCAACCAGAAGTTATTTTAATCTAGTTTAATAATTAATTTGAGACTATTGTAAATATACTCGCATTTAAGTTGTGTACCTGACAAGTACAAGAAACATAAATGAAAACCTACCATTGGATCTATCATTGCATTGAAGGCTGAAAGAGATTACAGAAACCTTGAAGAGTTTTTTTAGAAAGCTAACTGCTAGTGAAGAATGTGCACACACTGACCTGAGGCAATTATGGAACTTCCCTTCTTTGTTTTCAACAATAACCAATGCTCCTTAAACCAGTCTTGCCACATATTCCCAAGGCAAACGACTCCATGGTCTTCCAAGGGAAACAGATTAGTAATCCAATCATAAAAACATCTATTGGGCTTTCTACTTTTTAATAAAAAACCGTCTTTGGCAGATACTAGTCAATGTATAGTTTAGCTGATAATAGATGCACAAGAAATAGGCCTTAGAAATGTGACTGAACTTCATAGTATCATTGTGCTTAGGCTCGGAAGGGACCTAAACAGATCATCAGGTACGACCCCCTGCCTTGGGCAGGAATGGGTGCGGGGGGCATATCACCCCAGCCTCCTCTTGAAGACCCCCAAGGTAGGAGTGAGCACCACCTCACTTGGGAGCCCATTCCAAAGCCTGGCAGCCCTAACTGTAAAGTAATGTCTCCTGATGTCCAGCCTGAACCTTCTCTCTAACAATTATGGCCATTCCTAGTAACCGTGGGTGGTGCCTGGGGGAACAGAGCCTCCCCCAATTCTTGCTGGTCCCCCCTGATGAGTTCTTAAACGGCCACCAGATCCCCTCTCAGCCTTCCCTTGTGGAGGCTGAATAGGTTCAGGCCCTTTAGCCTCTGTTCGTAGGGCCTGTCTCGCTGCCCCTTGACCATGCGAATGGCCCTCCTCTGGATCCTCTCAATGCTGGCCACATCCCTCTTAAAGTGCGGCACCCAGAACTGGACACAGTACAGTTTTTTACAGTTTTCCAGACACAGAATTCTTGAACTGGGGGTTCAAGAATTCGTTCCCACGGAGCAGCTGTATCTCCGTGAGTGTTACTCGGTTCCCAGGTCCCCCGGAGCTGTTAAACTCCGTGGGCTCGACAATTGGGTCCTTAGGATAGGGATACGTCTGGGCTGCGATCGGCAACGGGGAGAGGCTAGAGGTTAGTTGCCTCAGAGTTGTTAAGGCTCCGAGGGGACGGTAAATAAGTCCCGCGGAGTTGTTGAAGCTCCGTGGGTTCGACAAATTAAACCTCTGTTGCCTTCTTAAGAAAAAAGCTGGGTTCGTATGGACCAGCAGCGCTTAGAGATCTTTACGCTCCTTTTCCGAACTCCACATGCTTTCTCTCTCTCCGATTTGGGCGGAAACCACCCAAGCCTTTTGTACGGCTAGCAAGCCAATAGCTAGTCGCCACGTGTACATAATTTAAAACTGGGCAATGGTGGGGCACAAATTAAAATACGAATGGCAGAAACTCTTTGCAAGGAGCATTTCTGTGCTGTAACAAGAAATGCACACTACAAAGAAAGCTACAGAACTGGCAGGAAAAGCTCCTGCACGCGGGTTCTCTGTTGCAGCAGAACACTCCACCGTGCAAAAGAGCTGTAATTTGGTGGGAACATGATTTAGCGATGCCGAAGCACACTCAAATAAAAAAACCCACAACTTTGGGTTGTGACATTTACAGACAACCCCCACTTAGCGCTCTTAATTGGTTCCGGAAAAAACAAGCGCTAAGCGAAACCATGTTAAGGGAAACCCATTTTCCCATAGGGTTTAACGTAAATAAATATAATTGGTTCCTGTGCTCCTGCCGGCCCTGGCCCCACCACTCCAGGCAAAGCACTGCACAAGCTCCACCAGGGAAAACATTGCCTCCTCCCGGCCTCATTGTTCCGCAGCCACAACAACCCCTGTGGACCCGCACCCACTGGCCACCAGCGCACCTGTGCACGGCCCCAGCCACCCCACCTGCAAGGCTTGAGTCAGGGACCCGCCCAGTCAGGGATTAACAGCAAGAAGGCAGGGATTAACGTTGAGCAGTAGGGCTCTGGTGGGTGAGCGCATGACCGGAGCAGAGCAGGTCACAGGCTGCAGCCCAGGGATAGTGGGGGGCTCCGTGGGCTTGGCTCCACTGTGGGCTGGGGCAGGGGACACTGTGCATGTGTCCTTGAGCACTGGCTCGCACCAGCCCAGACCCTGCACTCCTGCCAGCCCTGGCCTCAGGCCCTGTGCTCCTGCCACCCCTGACCCTGGGTGCCAGCCTGGGCCCCACACTCAGGCCCCCCCAGCCCCTTCTCACCGCCACCATGGCTCTTCCCCGCCCACTGTCTGCTCCAGCACCATGTGTCAGAGTGGACCCCAGGGCTCCTGCCACCCCGCCCTGGGCCTCATTGGCCCAGGCTCCATGCTTACGTTGCCCAGTCCCTTGCCCACCCCTTCTCACCACTAGTTCTCCCTGCCCACTCCAGCACCATGTGCCGGAGCAGACCCTGGGCTCCTGCCACTTCACCCTGGGCCCCACCGACTGCCACTCACTGCTTCACTCAATGCTACTACCACTGCTGCTGCAACTGTTTCCCCCTACCTCCTGTGCTGAGTGTTATAATGAAACTGCTGATTGCTAAGTGAAACCAGGTAGGTATTTTTACTGAGCACTACAGCGAAACCACAGTAAGCGGGGGTTGCCTGTATACTGGAAGATTAACAACAAAATGTTTCCAAAAGATATTTTAGTGACTGTGTTATAATTCCAAGGTAATTGCAATTGGAGCTGCCCTGCCTAATATTCCTGAAAGAAAAATATCGTAATCACTGTAGGAAATGACAAAACAGTAAAAATACTTCAACTGTGGATACTAAAATGAAACTGCTGAGGAACCCAACAAATCTCCTTGTACCCACTCAAGTACTTCAGGTTAAACTAATCCTTAGTGCCAATCCAGCAACTTCTATAGATATATACTAGCAATATATTCATTAAGATATTAATACTCCTCTAACCTCTCCATTTACTACCGTGTCTTCTTTCTACTAGGCCACAAAGCAGATCTGAGTTCAAGCCAACAGCTCATTTTAAATACAGTTTTAGTTTCCACACTTACCCTAAAAATTGATCCTGTTCTACAATAACTATCTGAGAAACTCCTCTACAAGTACATCTAAAAGGTAAAAGAAACAGCTGTTTGTGGCTATGCTTGTGCATGATGAGGCAAATTAAAACCTCACTGAATCTATACAGAGTCTCAGGCTGATTTAGCTCTTGAATTGCAAATGGACCTGCAATAGCAATTTAGGAATATTTGGGGAAGAATACAGAGGGTCTAGAATTCACCTTCAGGCATGATGAGTTTGAGGTGACAGTCTCTGAAACAGGGAGAAGAGACTCTGCAGAAAACATGGGGGAGTGTCAATGTTGGAAAAAGTGTCCGGAAGTTGTCAAAAAACAGTTGAAACAATAGGCTCAGATCAGTTCTGAGTCAAATTACCAGGAGGACCACACATAGTACAGGAATCCTGTATCAACCCTAACACCTGAATTTTTCCACACTGCTTTTGACCCAGCTCTACGATATTTATTAAATCTCCAGTGAAGATATTGAGGTCTTCACAACCATTCTAAAAACATCAATATGTTTGCTTTTCTGTTAGATTTTATGTTTCTTCTTAAGCCAAAAAAGCAGTGTGTTATCCCCTCTCTGAAATCTTTCAGTATCTATAAAACATATCTAACTGATCATACTTACTATAATCTAACATATTTTGGGGTCAGAGGAACTTTTGTAACTGATATTTTCACACCAAGCCTATATAATAGATAGCTAGCTGAACACCTGCCTTGAAATGAAAGAACTAGCACATATTCCCCTAACAGCTACTGACGGCATGAGAGAGAGCCGAGTCCTAGGTCAATAGCTCAAGTGAATCGTAACAGGAGGAGGGGCTTTACATGTACCTGAGAAAGAAGAGGAAGTACATGAATCAAATGTGCTGCTCCCACAAGCCAAGGAAGATCTCTCCCTCTAGCATTCAAAGAAAAACAGCTCCGTCCTTGCTTCCCGTCTTATACCAGGATTAGAGGTGAGATGACAAATTTTTTGTAGGAACTGCAATGTTCTGAATAGGTCTGTCATGCAATAGGTATTTCAATATTGGATAACAATGTATTTAGCAACAGTGAAGTTAAATACCACTGGTCTTTTCCACCTGTTCATTTGCAATTTCCTTTACACAAGCAGAAAGACAAATATTGCACAAAAATAGATAAATATCCTTCCAAAGCATTTTATTCAAATTTACCACTCCCTCCACCTTAGCAATACACAATCCTATATTTGTGGAGCCTGAAGCTCCACAAATCACATGAGTTTCCCCTTCTTCCCCATTTCAATTTATTCTTTACACAACATGAAAGAGAGCACATTCACCAAGACAAAGGGACAACTGAGTTTAACAGCTATTTTATAATGGAAGATTAAAATCTATTTTTAACTGCAGCTGAATAGGGAATAATACTATATTTCCCTGAAGGTTTATAGATGCCTATAAAACAGAGATCTTATGTTAAGGCATAAAACCTAAAAGATGGTATTGACTAAAAAGATAGCATAAGCCACAAATGAAACTGAGAAACTTAGTTTCACCTTTAAACAGAGAAAAATGTATCATGATAAAGTTAGATTTTCAATTTAGATTATTACAGGTGAAAGGAGTTCTGATGAGTAAACCTGAACTGAATATTGAGTCAAAGACATGCTGAATTTTTCCATTAACCAAAAACTCAAAATTAACACTTTAATGCAATATTTTAAATGACATTTTAAAGAGAAAAAAACCCTGCTCTTTTACTGCTTCGCTCTCTCTCTCTCTGGACCAATGAGACTTCAGCGTAAGTATTTTTCCATTCTACACAAAACTTGAGAGATGAAACAGATTCTCTCAAAGTACTCTCTACTTTCAAAGAGTAGTTAGTAAGAACTATATGAAATAAAACAAATTCTGGCCCCAGTTACACCACAGCAATTTTGTTAACTTCTGAGAATTCTGCAGAAATGTAACAATCCAATTTGGTCACTTGATTATAGAGTTCTGCTGTCATATTTGCTTGACTAAAGGCCTTTCCTTGCTTTTGCAACATTCCCCAGATTTAACTACTCTGGAAGAAGTTGAAAAGCGGTTGTTTAGTGAGACAAGTCATACTCAGAAATACCTTGCAATTATTTTTGTTACCAGAAAGCATTTAAAGAACCTCTTCCCCCTCCCCTGCAAATGTAAATGTTTTCAAGCTTTTTTTCAGAGTTTCAATAACCATGACTATAAACCTCTTTAATACATAGTGCCGGTATAAAAACACATTGACATTAGCCTGTGTTATATAATTAAGACAGGAAGAACTCTGAGAACAGAAGTTCTGTAAAGATAGCAGCTCCACATCCAAAGACTTCTAACACAGGCAGGTAAGGGACAAGGAGAGCTGCCTCACTGTGAACTAAAGATAATAATTTACATGCTGCAGAATTTCAGCCATCAAAACTAGACAGAGTACTTCTCATACACAACCATCACTTTTAACTGCCAGCAACTCAACCACTCAAAAAAGCAAGAGAGTCACAAGACTGAAACAAAATATAAACACTGCTGTACTTAGACTCTACTCTTTTAATCATTCCGCTACCTGGGTCCATTTCATATATATATACAATCAGGTATTTTGCAAGAAAAGAAATACTATGAAGTTGTTTTACCAATGATTTTGATACATTTTTACTCCCACACTGGTAGCATTTCTAGTCTAGAAATGATCTAATGCCATTCTTGGCCATACTCCTCAAAATCCAGATAGATATATAAACAAACAAGGACCATCCCATATTACTGTTTTAGGCATAAACCTATAACACAAAGAGAACTTTCTGCCATTGGTGCTTTGTAAGTGAAATTAAGAGAACTTTCTTCAAACCTAGCCAATTTTGCTTAGAAGATAAGTAAAATTTATCTAAGGAGGAGAGAGAGGGAGAGACATCTCTCCATGTAATAGAATGAATCTCCACTTTCAAACACAGTACTACTCACAGATACTGGACATTAAGAATACTCACATGGAGTATTAGAGATTATGGAGTAGGTCGTTCTGTGTAAAGTTACATCTTATCCCTACATCAGTAAGCTCTAAGTAAGGGGAAAGTCAGAAAACAAACAGAGAAAATGAGAAGTGATTTTATTTATTTATTTATTATTGTTACCACTTAAATTGTGGCATTTCACATTAGATACTCCCTTGAAGTTTATCTTTTTGGACAGCTCCAGTTCAGGGTGTTTTATTTTCATTTCAGTTTAAGATCATTTTACACTCCCTATCTAAATTTCTACAAAAATTAAGGGAACTAAAATATTATTGTAATTAAAGACAATTAAAAACTTCTCTCAAGTATGATTCAAATGACACTGATGTGGAGGTCAGCGCTTTGGTCTTGCTATGCATATTCGTTTAAATATTGCTTTTATTGGTTTGAAGGCACTGATATGCTAGGAGCCATAAAGGCTAGTGAGACCTAAAAAAATTTGAAGACTTGTAAATGAAATTGGAATATTTTAGAAGCTATTATGATGTTTGTAGCACAAACTCCAGGCAATTATGCAAATGAATAACCCATGACTCTACTCCTTTTCACGTAACAATGAAAATAACATATTAAGTTTCACTTGTAGCAAAAAAATGTTTAAGAAACACAGAAGTTCAGAATAGAAAGCAGTAAATGAGGAACAGCATTGCATGAAGTTCTTTCAGGCATAAGAAATAAGTCTGGGTCATTAGAAATGTGGGTAGTAGAGAAGAGTTTTAGCTCAACAGTAACTTGTTAGGCACATAATATTCTCTTATCACATTATGAACCACGAGTTCAGCCATTCTAACCAGGTCTGGATGTTTCTTGGTTTTCTATTGGGGAAAAAAAAAGTATTTTAATTTAATCTGTCACAAAACAAAAAAAGGCCTAGTTCTTCTTTTCAGAGCACTCCCCATGAGGTCAGAATTATACCAAGCATGGTGACTACCTGCAATTTAATTCCTCCCCCCAACTTCTATGCCCAGCAGCATTAGGACCTCCAGCTTTCTCTAATCCTCATCCATCTGGTTTTGCTGTTGGTACTTGATATGCACAGCCAGCATGACAAAACCAGTGAGGATGCAAGCCGAGCCAAAGACCAGGTAGGCAATGCCCAGGAAGGGGTTCTTGCCACCCATCCAGGAGACTGTACTGAGAATGACCTTCTTGGTGCCCTTGAAGGGGAGGACAGGGTAGCTGTAATTGATGTCGAGGCGGTAGGTTCCATGGGGCAGGCCAGCGGAGAAGTTGCCCTGGTGGACACGGCGGTAGAGCTTGCGGAAGGTGGGCAGGGCAGCGGTGCGCATCCACACGATGAAGTCCTCGTTGACGAAGCCTGTGTTGTTGGGGTTGCCGGCATCCAGCAGGTAGGCAGCACAGGGCCAGTTGGGGGGCTTGGCCGTGCCCCAGAAGGCGGTGGCCAGGCTGCCGTTCACCAGCTCTGGGTTGCGGAACTTGACGTTGGAGTCGGTCCACCAGGAGATGCCCCGGCTGTCCAGGGGCACCGGCATGAAGGACCCGTTGACCAGGCGGTGGAGGGTGAAGGTGTCGTTGAAGAGGCTGTTGGCAACCCGCAGCCCCCAGGGGTCCCCGCTGAGCTGCAGGTCGTCGCGGGACACGCCGTAGCGCCGGTGGTTCTGGTAGTAGTTGGACAGCTGGTAGTACAGGCACACTGGCCCCGGGAAGGGCTCGGCCAGTTCAAAGCGCAGGGTGCAGAGGCACGGGCCGGAGGTGGCGCTGGCATTGGTGCAGCGGGCGCAGTCGTGGTTGCTGCGCGGGGCGCCCGTGTAATCCAGCTCCAGCTCGCGGATGGTGCCCGAGGAGAAGTGCAGCCCCAGCCCCACGGCCAGCCCGGCCAGGCCCAGCGCGAAGAAGAGCGGCAGCGCGATGCCCGCCGACAGCAA